AAAAAAATCCAGTTTATCAAATTATTTGCTCAACATACAGATTGAATATGTATGGAGAAATTCTAAGGGTTCTGGGATTTTGATAGAAGCCTAGTAAATTGTTTTTTTTTAAAAAGAACACAATAACAGGATATTTTGTTCTTCTTCCCACAAAACGTACTTCTGTTTAGCTTTTTGTTATCCCTAACAGTGGCTTCCTTATATTTTATGTCCCCATGCACTTGCTATCACTCAATTCTATTCAACTCAGGTTAAGCCTCTCTTTCAGGAATCTGTTTCCTTTAAGAACGTGACTGTGGACTTTACGCAGGAGGAGTGGCAGCTGCTGAACTCTGCCCAAAGATTCCTGTACAAGGATGTGATGCTTGAGAACTACAGAAATCTAGTCTTAGTGGGTAAGCCCAGCTCCTGGACAGCTCCCAGAGTATACATTCTCTCTGTGCCACAACATTAAATTCTCTTTCTAGAATGTAAATATTTAGCCTTTAGTTTCAGGAGAAAGATGATTAAGCCTTGTTGTTGTTGTTGTTGTTGTTGTTGTTGTTGCTAAGTACCATCTATTCAGAACTGACCCATAGCTGACCCTTTAGTGGGTTTTCAGAGGCAGTAAATCACAAAGGAAGAGACTGCCTGTCTTTCTCTCCCATGGCAGCTGGTAGATTTGAACCATGTGCTTTCAAGTTGTCAGCACTGCTCCTTACCAATAGGCCACCAGAGGTCCCTAAGTCCTCTTAGATAACAGAAATATATGTGTGTGTTCACTGTTCCTGATCTTTTTCACCGTCGCTTCTTTGCCTGTACCCCTACTGCAAACATCTAGCTTTACTGAATATGACCAAACATCATTTTGTCACATCTGAGGCAAAACTACTTCATCCTTAAGTCCAAAGAAGTTAGTCTAGTTTATCATTTCTCTTTAACAGGATATGATGTTATCAAACCTGATGTGATCTTTAAACTGGAGCAAGAACAAGAACCGTGGATAGTGAAGGAATTTTCAAGTCAGGACTACCCAGGTAAGTAAGGTGATAACTAACATACGGTTTTTTAAATCAGTTCTTGCTCATAGGAACCCCTAGCACATAATAATCCTTTCTCCATAAGAGTCCCAAGACTAATCTTCATGAGATAGTCTGCCACATCTTTCTCCTTTGAAGAAATTGTATGAATTCAGACTCCTAGTCTTTTAGTTGGTAGCCAAGCACTTAACCACTGAATTTCTTTAAGGTGGTAATTGAGCACTTGGAAACCATTAGAAATAAAAATTCCACGGTGGCAAATGATTATAGTTAGTACCACTGTAATATTTTTCAAGAATCCAATTACATTGGTTTCAGACTTCTGGAAGTGATTGAGACATACCTTAGAACCTTTTTAACCATAGCACCACCAAAGCACTTTTTTTGATTTCTATTAAGATATTCATAGATCTATCGTTTTTTTCCTCTTTATTAACTTGAGTCATCTATCTAGTTACATTCCATTTTCTCTCTCATTCTTTATCTGAAAAATAACTCAGTCCCAGTTTCATTCCCAATCCCAAGATTGGAACTAGGATGAGGAAATATAGGCATTTCAGATTTGAAATGTCTTCAGTCTTAGGAGCCTAGGCCTGAAGTCCAATCCTCCACAAGGCATTTGTAAGGAATCTTGTTTTCATGGCAGATGTGTAAAGACTCACAAATCATTCATTGTGCTTCTTTCCAGAAGTTGATGGTGCCTTAAAGAATAATGATGACATCCAAGACAAAGCTTTGATGCAAACGATATTCTTCAGCAACAAAACACAAATTACAGAGAGAGCTAATAATATATTGGGGAAGATGTTCACCCAGGACATGAGCATTCTTCCATCAAGAAAAACATCCCATAAATATGATTCATGTGGAAATAGTCTAAAAAGGGATTCAGAAATAATTGTGAAAAAAAGCTATTTTTAAAAGATTCCTGATAAATACAGTGGCTGTGGGAAGCCACTGTTCCATACAAAGTATGAGAAGAGTCATTCTGGAATGAAAAAGTACAGGTATAATGAGGTTCGGAAAGCCAAAACTCGGAATGAAGACTGTTCTTCACCAGAACAGTCAGTCTTTGAAGCAGCCTTTTAACTATAGCAAATGTGGGGGAACCTTCTTCAAGGGGACAGTCCACATTACACAAAAGATAGAACTTGATGAAGAGAAGCCAAATGAATGTGATGAATGTAAAAAAACATTTTCTAAGAAATCTACCCTCCTTGTACATCAGAGAATTCATACAGGGGAAAAACCCTATGTTTGTAATGATTGTCCAAAAACGTTCCATGTGAAAACACACCTCACCCGACACCAAAGGATTCATTCTGGAGAGAGACCCTATGAGTGCAGCGAATGTAGGAAAATGTTCACTGACAAATCCGTCCTGATTGTCCATCAGAAAATCCACAAAGGGGAGAAATCCTATAAGTGTAAGGAATGCGGAAAAACCTTTTTTCATAAATCGTCCCTCAATGAACATTTCAGGTCACATACGGGGGAGAAGCCTTTTGAATGTAAGGAATGTGGCAGTGCCTTCAGCAAGAGATCTTACCTGGTTGTGCATCAAAGAACTCACAGAGGTGAGAGGCCAAATGAATGTAACGTATGTGGGAAAACTTTCTTCTGTCAATCAGCCCTCATTGCACATCAGAGAATTCACACAGGAGACAGGCCTTATGAATGTGATGATTGCGGGAAAACCTTTTTCTGTCAGTCAGCCCTCAAAGTGCACCGGAGAACTCACACGGGAGAGAAACCCTATGAATGCCATCAATGTGGGAAATTTTTATGTACCAAATCAGCCCTCAGTGTACACCAAATAACTCATAGGCAAGAAAAGTCTTACGAGTGTGATGAATGTGGGAAGTGTTTCTGCCATAAGTCAACACTCACTATACACCAGAGAACTCACACAGGTGAGCAGCACAGCACACTTAATAAATGTACTAAAACATTCAGTGTGAAGTCAAACCACAAGGAGCATAAGAAAGTGTTCACAAAGGAGAATGTTCACAAGGGTAAGGAGCGTGGGCGGGTCACCCACAAAAGCCCACACTTCATCATACATCAGAGATCCATATGGGAGAGGCCCTATGAATGTAAAGAATGTGGGAGAACTTACTGCCGGAAGTCGGCCCTCACTCACCACCAGAGGACCCACTCTGGAGAGCGGCCTTATGAATGTAATGAATGTGGGAAAACCTTCTGTCAAAAATTCTCTTTCACTGAGCATCAGCGAACTCACACTGGAGAGAAGCCATACGCGTGTAATGAATGTGAGAAAGCCTTTTGCCATAAATCAGCCCTCAGGGTACATCAGAGAATTCACACCGGAGAGAAACCATACAAATGTCAAGAATGTGGGAAAAGCTACCGTCAGCTCTGGACTCTCACTGAGCATCAGAAAATACACACAGGGGAGAAACCCTATGAATGTAAAACATGTGAAAAAACATTTCGCCACAAGTCAAATTTCCTTTTACATCAAAAAACTCACAAGGAATAAATACCAAAAAAGTCATGGGCTCCAGGAAAGAAAAAAAATTTACAAAAGGCTAAAACCCTATATAGTGTGAAATATTATGAATGTAAGGAATATAGGAGACTTTTCTTGTGTAAGTCAACACTGTACATGAGAGAATCACTCAGCAGAAAAGTAGAGTGTGCTTATTAGTATTATGGACAATTTAATGTGATTTGTGCAAATACTGATTCTAATAATGCCTAGTGTGCCTCCCTTTTTAAATAATGAAACAAATATAAGTAAAATTATTAATTGATGCCCTTCCTGGTGTAATTTACAATGAATATTTTGAGGTACGATGGATCAAATTTTTATTCTTAGTCAATCCTATTGTTTGTATCCTGATTGAGTAATTTTTAACTTAAGTAATTTATAACATTAAACTGTCCAATTAGGCAGCCTGGCTTTTGTCTTCATATCTGTCTTTGTGTCTAGTTAACAAACTTGATCCCTTTATCCTCAGAACTGGCACTTGGGTCAAGAAGGCTAAACGTGACATCTCATCCTGCTGATTCCACAATGATTTTTCAGACATGAGTGAATGAGAGCCCTTCCTACAGCTTCTAAAGGGGAGTAGGCCCAGAACAGTTAATATTTGACCCTGAACTTTTTAGACTCTAAGACTAGTAGCTAGCAAAGCTGGCAATAGGGGGAGGGGAGGGGGAACAAATGCAGAAGTACATACCTTTGAGCATCAAAGAGACTTCTGATAGTTTTAAATCCAGAATGTGTCTTCCTAATTTTATTCTCTGATACCTCCTGAGGAGTCCATGAAGAGCACAAATGTCACATCCTCAGCTGATGAAGAAAAGGAGGTTTGAGTCCTCCAGATGTAAGAAAAATCGTTGACCACCCAATGGAGCAGAGTTCTTGAATATGTGGAGTCACCATTCACTAAGACAAACCAGACCATTTCTTAGTTCTCATTGTCTTGACCTTTGCTGTGGATATCTTCATGCTTTTTCATCGTATTACTGAACATGCATCTAGTCCATGACATGAAGAAATAAAAATAACATCCTGGGGAAGGTAGAAGTTGCAGGCCTCATCATCACACCATGCCAACAGAGAGAGCCAGGAGATAGGAGACATGCAGATTACAAGTGTCTTATCCTGACTTTCTGAGCATAACAAAATGTCCTTCAAATTCTGTCCTCCAAATTTTACATGCAAATGACCTTTGAAACCCACTTGAATTGGGAACTTGCAAGGAGAGGATTTGGGAAAAATATAATTCAGTTGAGCCAAGTTGGTATAGTTACCGCATTCAGCTTTCCCCTTCAGAGCTAGAAATTCTGGAGTTTTCCTCTGTGGCTAACTCTAAATGCTCATAATTCCTGGTTGGTTTCCTGTAACCCTGTTGCTAACCTAAAGTGCCCAATAATTTCTGGTTGATTTTCTCTAAACCTGTCCACAATTGTAAATAGTCTCTTCACTCAGCTTTCATCCCTTTTGAGTGTGCTGTTTCAGAGTAGTTAGTAACTGGTGATTTCAGTAAGAAGGACTGAAACATTGAAGCTTTTAAATTATGGTGCTGACATAGAATATTGAATGTACCATGAACTACCATAAGTGGTAAAACTCCATCTTATACTTTGGGCATATTCTAAGAAGAGGACAATCATTGAAGAAGGACATGCTTAGACAGGTGGTCAGCATAATAGGAAGACCTTCAAGAAGATAAATTGATCTGTTTCCATGTTCTTGCAATGGCAAATAACGCTGCTATGAACATTGGTGTACAAGTCTCTGTTTGTGCCTCAGTTCTCATATTCTCAGGGTATATTCCAACTAGTGGAATAACTGGGTCATATGGAATTTCTGTGTTCATCTTTTTGAGGAAGCGCCAAAGTCTTGCCACATCCTCTCCAACATTTATTACTTGCTATCCTGTTAAATTTTGCCACTGTAATGTCCAACCACAGACAAAGGATTGAGAAATTATGGTACATTCACACAATGGAATACTAAGCAATACACAGGAACAGTGATTTCGTAAATTATTACCTAACTTGGGAGGGACTGTAGAGCATTATGCTGAGTTAACTAATTCAGTCCCACAAGGACAGATATTATATAAAACCATTATTGTAGTATAAGGATCCAAGGCGGGGGGTGGAAGCAGAGGGGGCAAGAATGTGGAGGGGGAAGAGAGGATTAATCATGGAGCTGTACAAATTGGTAGAAAAATGGAAGAATCTGTTCTGGAAAACAATATATATGGATTTTTTTAAATAAACTAATAATAAAAAGAAGATAGATTGACACATTGAATGACAAGGAGCTCAAGTGGGTCCTTGAGATGGTGAGGATGGCATAAAATGGGTCAAGGTTCAGAGGGTTTATAGGTTTATAAACCTGTAAGGTTTATAGGATTGTGGAGTCATAGTCACCTCAATGACACATAACAACAACAAGAACAAACTAATCTGACTTGGGAGAAGTGTATCCAGAATGTCCCTTAGAGATAGGGTTAAACATATTCTCAGAAAGTACCAGTCCCCAGAGAAGGACATCATGCTTAAAGATCAGGAGCCTTAATAAAATGGATTAACAGTGGCTGCAGCAGTGGGCTCAATCAGCAGTTGTGAAAATGTTGCAGGATTTGCCAGTGTTCCATTCTGCTGAACACAGGATCTCTATGACATGAAACCAACTCCGTGGCACCAAACAGCAACAACTAGCTGTAGTCACCACATACAGACTCTCAGGATAGAAACAGTCATATCCTCGAGTGGTGGTTGGTAGAGACCAAGTGACAATTCTTAACCTTTTGACAAGGGAAGCAGTCATAACATACCTCTAGGCATGGTGGTAAATCAGAAGGTTTTGACCTTGAAGTTACGGTTCAGTGATTACAAAGATATTAAGCATGACATATGTTGGCAGATGGTTACTGTGAAGCTTGACATAGGTAATGAAATTAAAGGTCCTTTGGAAAGAAACCTAAGTTGAGCTCTACACTGAGAGAATTCATGATAACCTTATTAAATTCCCAGACCCAAGGCAATTTGTAGACCTACAGTGGCTTCAGGGAAGACTTGAAAAAGATCCCTGCAATCTAGCCATGGGGTCATGGTGTGAGTCATGGTTCTTCCCAGGAAGAACTAGCTTTTCACGAGTGTGACTGCAGCAGGGAAAGGAGCAGACACCTAGACCTTGACTCTGAGATAATGTTCATTCTTAGACCCATCCCAGCAGATATATGCACACCCATGTTTATTGCGGCTTTGTTTACAATAGCAAAGAGTTGGAAACAACCCAAGTGCGCATTAACAAACGAATGGATAGAGAAGCTCTAGTATGTTCCCACAATGGAATACTATGCTGCACTGAAAAACAAAGATGAAATATACAAAATGTGTGACTCTGGAGGACATTATGCTGAGTGAAATATCTCAGTCACAAAAAGACAAATACTGCATAATACCACTGTTGTAGAACAAGACTGACATAGAGGTTGGGGGAAATTGAGAAAAAGGGGATAAATACAGGGGAGCTCTGGTGGTCTAGTGGCAAGAAGCTGTACTGCAATCCCAAAGGTGCACGGTTCAAATCCACCAGATGCTCTGCCGGAGAAGGAGGGACAATTTCCTCCTGTACCAGTCAGCTCTGATTTGACGGTACATGCACAAAGAATAATAAAATAAAAAAAGGGGGGATAAATAATGTATATGGCATTGAAACAGATGAGGGAGAGAACTATATAAAAGGAATATATTATTAGGTATTATGGGCATAACAAGAGTCCAGAAGAAGAGCTACATATAGTCAAGTGGTGGGGGCGGGGGGGCGGAGGTGGAACTGTGTAACAATGAAAGAACTTTTTTTTCCAATTGAAAAAAGTAAACTGAGGGGAAGAGGGAACAGGGAGGAAAATGTGCAAAAATGAATGAATGGAAATGTAAGATTTTTTATAAAGTTTCCTTAAAATCTAAAAAAAAGGACAAAAAAAGAAAATATAGTTTAACAACTTCCTTTTAACCTTTTATGATGTATTCATGGTGTCTGTGAGCACAGAGGGCCTACATTTAATCTACTTAATAAAAACCTCACTTTCTTTTTGCAGTTTGGGACACTGTTGCCCACTCATGTGCCAATGTGTTGTAATTCATGAATCTACTTTTCAATAAAACTCAACTTTGATTTCTAACCAAGTGTAACACTGATGTTTTGCTCTGACAAAACATACAGATACTTCAAAAAGCAAGCAATGAAGCAGGAAAGCACAGGCGCATTGGGGATTAAACAATTTAGCGCTGCAGCAACACTGAACAGTCTAGCAACGTAGAAATAGGAAACAGTGGTTCCCAAAGAAGGGACTGTCCTTTGAGAATCACTCTATTCTTCTTTTTGATGGAGCTCAGACTTAAGGAATGACTATATCCCTCCCATTTGGCTGAACAGCGGCTAAGTCCCCATCATGGTTGCCAGAGCAGAGTTAGGGAAGTATAATCGGATTTCTGACACAATACTGAATTTACAGCATTACATACCAATTATATCTTATATGAGAAAGCCAAAACATACAATCCATCTATTTCAAAGGCCACACATCTCTGGCAATTAGAACTCCTCAGTAGCTCCTTGGGAGATGATACAGTTCCTCCCCTGGAAAATCTGTTGTAAGGTCTGCAATGAGTTGGTTCTGACTCCGTGACAATGACTGACTGACGGAGCAGTAATTAGGTTGTCTGTGTTCTGACTCTAAGTTTGGGGTTATCCCTATTTGAACGTGTACTCTTGGTTCTCAAAGATTCGAGGGTTAGTTCTAATTATTCAAGGACGCTGAGTATGTCCACATTTGTATTCCCTGAGACAAGTAGTGTCTTACCATGCCCTACCACCCTCCATCTATGTGACCTTTGGGGTTCTTGCCTCTTCCTTCTAAACCACCACTCAGTTTGCAGTGCTGTGGTGGATTGTAGGTTGCTGTGATGTTGAGAGATAAGCCACCAGTATTCCAAACACCAGCAAGGTCA